CAGTAATAAATCTTTAATGATAGAATAGCCATGTTCTTGCTCATAGTAGACAACTGCCCCTTTCACAGCCTTGTGAAGTTCAGCTGATAGGAGCTGAAATAATTGAGAAACTACTGCACTGGCAAAAGGAATAGGCCTTAAGAGACAGGCGTCTCTTTCCAACACCCTTCCAGACCATGCAGGGCCAATGCTCTGTACCACAGTATCCCAAGGTCTCATCTCTCCAACATCCCTCAGATGTTGTGGGGAGAAGGAAGAGCTGCAGGAAGCATGCAGTGAAAGACTTTAGTCAGGAGGAGGAACAGCAAGCAAAACATGAACTGCTGATGTCCAGAGAACATATCTTCAGCCTTTACAGTGTTAGTCTTCTATTTCACTGTCCCTCCCTAACCTTCACACTCTTTTCCTCGGCTCTTCTTCATAGCTGCTTCACTGTTCTCATTCTTTCCTTCTCTCTGCATCTATTGTATTTCTACTTTAGTAATTTCATGCTTGTTCTTTAAAACTCAAGGCTCTAGCATGCCATTTGCTGTAATTATATTACACAACCTGTCTATGTGATATAATTGTGTGATATTCCACCACATGGACACCCACACAACCGCACATCAGAGGACTGTTTCTTTAATAAGACTTTACATTGTCTAACACAAGGGGCACCCTTTCAAGGATGATTAGATCAGAGTGGAAACAAGACTAAAAATTGAAAAATGGCTCATTCGTGTCCTTTTTGTGTCAGAAACTCTGTATCTGCATCACCAGTTCCATTTGCATATAATATTTCTGTTTTCTAAGTAATTTTTCTACATCCCAATATGCTCTCTTCTCACTTGCTAAAATTTTTACAGCTTGGATAAAGTTTACAAATACAAACACATGAAATATAACAAAAACAACCAAAAAAAAAGAGTATAAACTCTTCAAAGTTCCTGAACATCTGCTTTTTTGGATTTGAGGGGTGATTACTATGAACTTCTGGAGATTATCATCCTCAATCACCCTAAAAGATATGTTGACATCATACACACAGAAAGGCATCTGAGGTGATGACATGCTTCAGAGAAGCATTTTCTGAAAAGTAGTATTAGATGGGTAGTAAATGGAGTGGAACAAGTCATTTGCGAGAAGTAATTTTTTTTTTAATTCCATCTTCTTTCTTGGCTAGAGAAATATCTGCAGGCAATTTGAAGTCTGCTTCTGCCTGGGTTTAGTAGTCTAAGGGATGAATATGACAAAATCTTTTTAATGTCAGATCTAACAGGGTCATTTTCGTTCTACACACTAATTACCTATAGAATGCAAATCAGAGGCCACAGTCTTTTTATTTCTTCCCTTTGTCCTCTATTTTTATTTGTGGGAACATTCTTCATTACATTTCACTGTCTGGTCAGGAGATACCAGAGTAGGCTCTTGAGGGCGTTGCATTCTGTTTGTGCTTCACCATGATATTACTTTTGGCAGGATGTTTATTTCTTTTCTCCTCTTTCTTTGTTTTCTGTGCCTATGAAACATGTCTTTACAAGTACCTTGAGTCCATGTTCTAAGCCATTTATTTTCCTCTTCCATCTCCCTGTCTTTTCTTACCCTTTCCTCTATTTCCCCTCAGTCTCTCTTTTGTCTTGTGTCTCCTCTGTTGTTTTGACTTCTGACTCTTTGTCATGAAAAGTAACTTCACTCATTTATTGTATTTTCCTTCTGTTTGGAGAAGGCTTGGAAGCTGTGAAAGTCCTTTCTGGATCCCTTTATTCTGTTCATGTCCTTGACCTATTTTTTATCCAGTGGTCTTAGTGTACCATTAGTTAGGAGTTTTTTATGCTTGTCTTGCATCTTGCATAATAATAAATGTTTTTCTCTCTGCTCTCCAAAAATGTTCTACATTTCCAGTAGCTCCAAGCCTTCCTACCTTGTAGAGCTTCTTTTTATGCCTTCAATGATTGACTCCATTCTTGTTCTCTTCTTCATGTGTCTTTTCCATTCTTCTGTTTCAGCTGGTTAATTTTCACAGGTGGAGTTTGGGTCTTGATGCCAGCTTTTCTGAGGAAATAGGAAGGAGGGAGAGGAGAGCATCATAGGCCAGGTATCCTAGAGGTGGCATAGAAAAGAGCTAAATGGTGAGCAGAAGCTATTCCAAGAAGCTTGTAGGATTAAGGACCCAGTATAAGATTGCAGTTCAGTATTTTTTCATTATAAAGTGGGTGGGAAATATCAGCTGGCCCACTGCATCCTCTACAAAATGCATTAACATATAAGCAAGCTTGTAGTTTTCCATGTTATAACTCTTACTAAGACACTATACCTGAATACGATGCTGTTCTAGCTTTATTGCATTCTATGCTAAAGCAGTTTTAGTGGCTGACTTCAATGTAGCTATTTCATAGATAGTGTGAAAAAAGGTTGCTGTAGTGGTATGGTTTCATTTGCTATTTTATGGAATCACTTGAACTACAGTTCAGTGTAATTAAAATGTTACCTGGAACTTGCGTGTAGTATAATGTATTTGATACTGCATCTGTCTGCAAGATTCTAAAAATCTTGTTAAACTTCTTAGCTAACATTCTCATAATCTCAAAAAAATCTTTATTGTCCCAATTTAGATGAGCTGAAGGGAAATAAAGCAAAATAGTTTCTAATTTGCCAATCATTTTAGTTTAATATGTTCCACACAGGCTTCTTTTGGTAGGCTATGCAGTACTCCCATGCTATAGTTATCTAAGTCCTAAAATATCATGATATCCTGGAGAAGATCTTTTTCTATGACAGGGGCAGATTGGGAAGATCCCTTTGAGATTAATTAACACAAATTTAAAATACTTCAGGGGTTTATGGAAGTCCTTAAAATAAAAAGTCTTCCTGAAGCAACCTGTACTGTTTAAAGTTACCTACTTAGGGATGTACAATATATTTAAAGCAACTTGAATTTGTTTCTTCCAGACATTATTTACAGAGGCAGAAATTTAACAAATGCTAAATGGCATAATTGTGTTATAGTAGACAGGTTTCTCCAGAAAAAAAGTACTTAGAAGTTACATTGAAAGTAAAGACAGCATTTCAGAATCTTAAGAAAATTCATAGAGCAGTAAAATCTTCACTTGGTTCTATCAGACAATAAATATCACTAAACACTTATTTTATTGCTTGGAGGGAATTGTTTCTTTTAACTTTTTTGATATTGTCCATTTTGATTCAGTAGTTTCTTGATTGTATGAGTATATGGTTTTGTATAGCGCCTAAGAGGGCTTGTTAAAAGCTTATTTCTGGTGAAGATAAAGAGTTTGATATTTATGCAATCAAAGTTCAGTGTAGGATGGGGCTCTGAGATAGGGTGCATCTGATTTCTAAGACTCACTCAGAGGTGTCAGGTAAGGTGAAATGTAATCAGTTTTGCATTTATTACTACAGGGCAATCTATGTCACCACCTCTGATATGCAGTGATACGATCTTCAAAAATATATTTTGTCTAACACAATGTACCTTTCATACAGTATCACTGAGCTGATCAATCAAATGGCGAGAGATATTTAATAAGCATGCTTGTAATTCAAGCTAATAACATTCTAGCCATTTTATGGAAGATACATTTGGTGAACAGTAGTTCCACAGTGCTCAAATTCAGGATGTGCTCTGTATATTTATTTAACTATTTAACACTTCTAAACAGAGGAAAGCTATATAGGATAAAATCATCACCTGAATTTGACCATAAAATATTCTGAATGTTACTGTATGTTTTTTTAAAAAAAACCCTTCTGTTCTTTATATCTAAAACAAATTAATGGAAGCAACTAGAAATAGGTATATAGAATTGAAATCTTTTAAGCGTTTTGATTCTTTACACAACTTGTGATTGTTTGGTATTGGTTGCTTTTAGAAGAGACAGAATAGCTTTATTTAGAAGTATAGGTTAAAAACATAAAGCTGCTAACATCAGCTCTGATGAAAATGACAGTGATTGCTTTCAAACCAAAAAAAAATTCAAGATATGTGAGAAACATTTGAAACCCTGCCTAACAAACTGTGCCAATCATTTGAGAATGATCTTACCCAAGTATGTGTTAAGTTTGCAACTGCGTTCATCAAATATTTTAATTCACCGAGGTTTCTTTAAAGTGAACGTCTGCCAACAGTAAATACGTTGCAGATCTGACGCAGGAAAGGGGAGAGGAGAGTTCATATAGGCTTAGGGTACCGTTGTAGTAAAAATGCATTAAAGGCCAGCTTTTTATTCGAGGTTTTATAGCTTCTGCTGTAAATATTGGCATAAACGACACATATTGTAGAACTATGGCATATGTTGCTTTTGAAAGAAAGACATTTTCACCTATTCAGTGAATTGAGGCCTCATGTTACTCCCTGCAGACCATGTCATACCCCTTTCCAACCTCTCAGGACCGATGACTTATCCAAACCAAACATCTGCTTTTCCATTCAGTGCAATTATTCAGTGTGCTACTGGGGGCAGATGGTTGTTAATCGGCAGATCATTAATGTGCCAGACCACTCGCTCTTTCTAGCCTTAGAAAGGTCACAAGGTGTTAAGTTCCCTCGCTCCAGGCTGTAAGATGCATATTTCTGATTCAGTTGGATTTTTGATATATAACTGCAATTGAATTACTTGATACAATTATGGAGGAGCTTTTAATTAAACCTTTTTTCCTTAAAAAAAAATATTGTTTTTACAGTGTAAGAATGATGCAACTGAGAGATGGGTTAGTGTCAATTACACTCTAGCTGTCAGAAAGTTTGAATGCTGAAATCTGGTGAGTGTGAATCCTAATCAGATAGCAGTGAGGATGCTCAGCTGCTACTCTAACACTGTCTCCAGCTATATGTGTCAATTTTCTGCAGAATTTAATTTAGCCCTAATGATGAAGAAATCTCTCTATTCACACAGTCCTGTCAAGTCAAACTTTGACAATCTAAATGAAGTAGACGAGGGCTTCAGGGAGAAGTGGCAGAGTGACATGCCGAAGAGATTTCACTTTCTTTTCCATTCACGCAGGTTATATTGAGGAAGCCTGTATTATTCCATGTCCCTCAGACTGCAAGCTCAGTGAGTGGTCCAACTGGTCTCGCTGTAGTAAGTCCTGTGGGAGTGGGGTAAAGGTTCGGTCTAAATGGCTCCGTGAAAAACCTTACAACGGTGGAAGACCCTGTCCAAAGCTAGATCATGTCAATCAGGTAATTTGATTTACATTTACATTACTGATAGAGCTTTTTTCATACTTCAGATAACCTGTTTAGCTGTATTGTTTGTTGATGTAGAAAAACTATACAACATAAGGGGCAGATGCAGGTAGAAGGAGGAGTATGTGTTGGCTTAGATTTCCTCAATCAGCATAGGATCTTCCTCATCTGCAAGAACTTAGCACATTAGCTGAACTGCAGACTGGAGACAATAAAACATTCTTACATGCAGATTGTGAAGACCACGTTTCTGGAGATCTTCTCGTACAATGGGTAAAATGTCTCATTACAGATGCTCAAAACTGGTAAGATTCATAGTGTCATTCCCGACCATCTTAGATCAAAAAGCAAATTAAAACTTCTCAAACACTCACACAGCATCATCCCAGTGTTCCTTGGTGGGCTTTAGTCAAGCTGGAGCTTGACCTTCTGGGTACACTTGCCCTCGCACTGCAGTTCCAATTAGGAATGCACTTCTGAAGTCAATCTCCCAGTTGTCCCACTAAGCGCACTTGATTTTCCAGTATGGAGCAGTCTGGCTGCACAGTCTGGATCCTCTTCAAGTGAAACTAAGCCAGAAAATGTGATCCAAGAGCACACTGGGAGTGCTTTGACCACTAATGAGCATTTAGTCTTTGGGACCAAGTTTATCACTAGTCCAAGTCAAACTCCTGAAGCTTGTTTGCTCCTCTTTGCTTGGAGAGTTTTAGAAAGAAAAACCTTCCTTGTCGATTAACTTATGCTCTTCAGAGTTTATTTATATTCATATTACTGTTGAATTTAATTTAGTCTGCAGAGGCATGTTAAACAGCCACTTGGTCTTTTCTGTAAATATTCAAAGATTGAAAAAAAATGTGCTGTCAATTTACATTTGAATAAAAATGCATATACTTAATATTATCCTATTGACATTTTGCTAGCACAGAGTGAAATGGCTTGTTGATCTAATTTTCTACTTTAGGGAATGTAATTAGTTCTAATTTAGAAAATAATAAGTGTTAAACTGCAGCTAATAAACTAAGTTTGTGATCTACTTTAACAAAATAAAACTAGACTGAGGGTTGCTGGATTTGGGTCAGCATGTAAATATGCTTTAAATTAGGAGGAATGTGTTTCAATAGGAGCAAATTATAGTCTATACAGAAGTCTTTTTCCCTTCTTTAATATTCATGCAGTACATAATAGGCTCCTATTTTTCTGCATCAAAGGTGATTTTGCTAGAGGTCTGTTAGCCACTTGTATGCAACGCTATTGCCCTCTACCGGTACTTTGACTCGAATTTTATTTGTTGCAATGTTACATGGTACTTGCCAAATAATAATAGATGATTCAAAATGTAATTATTGTAAAAATAAAATTGAAATATAATACTTTCATGAGAAGGGAGCTCTACTGATAAGATAGGAATGTCGAAGAATATAGAGGCTGTATCTTTCAATTTTAAATACGTTCACTGTCAATTCAGAAACATGCAGAGAATACACCTGCATTCTAATTTTGAGTTAATTATTTAATCTAAATGTGATCCACCATTCATTCAGCTGGAAAACTACTGACTCTTCAGAATAATTATTTCCATTATTAAATGTAATTTGTTTTATTTATGTATTTATTACTTATATATGTAGCATGCTTATTTGCATACATACAAAGCATAATGGTTAGACTGGGTCTTTGGTGTGGAAGATATGTACAGAGAGGCTATGCTGTAAACTGGGATCTAGGAATTATGAACTCTGAGGAAAGACTGCAATGTGTTGTCTAGTCCATGGAAAAGAAGATGGGAGGGAGGATGCTAGCAGTCTGCTGGCATGTACATAAAAGGCTGTTGCAAAGAAGGAGGAAATAATCCATTTTCCATGGCCATCGTGGATAGGATAAAACGCAGTAGGCAAGCAGATTTGGGTTAAGCCTTGGGAAAACTTTCTAATGGTAAGGCTAGTGAGACACTGAAATAAAGTGCTTAACGGCTCTCAGGGCTGACATGTATGACTGTATTTTGGAGGGGGACTGAACACAGTGAATGCTAGATGTCTCATTGGGCGTCTCTCCTCCTGGGCTATGCATGCCAGGGTGACTCCCAAACCACACTCCAACTGAGTGAGACTTGCTCAGTACCCACTTCACTAGGCTAAAAGTCATCATAATTACAATAATAATAGAGTCAGGTTTATTATAAATCCTGTGAATGGCCTTCAGAGGATTTCAAATGAAGAGACTAATCTGAGACTGTTAGAAAAAATAAGGACATCCCTCTCTTCATTGGCTCCAGGCATTATTTGCCCCCTTATCCAGCAGGTGGGTGTGCAATCCTTACACCACCCAACTGCCATGGCCTGCAGTCACAGTTACAAAAATGCCAGTAGAGTCAGGAGAACACCACCGAACACATGCAAGGCAATATAGAGTTCTGCTTTGGCTTTCTGGCAAGATATCCAATTTTTATGTTCCTGGAAAGGCTGTTGAATATGCAGGGTTTATGTATTTCTTCTTATGCCAACCAGGATGAGACATATAGAGACATTTCCCTAAATTAAGGCTTCGCTATTCTCATTTTTTAAATCCTGGACAAGAATAAATAAAGTGCCACTTCCCATGTGACTACAAATTGTGCACTGAGTCCGGTACCTTCCTTAACATGCATTTACACCACCCATCTTTATGCCTGAGTTAATGCTTGTGTAGTTCAAAGAAGGCCCAAATATGCTGACTATGCTGCTCTTCTTGTGCATGGGCTGATCAGCTGCATAGTGATATATCAGACTCTCTATGCATTCATTGTTCAAGGCATTATTTTTTTTTTTGTGACTGATGGTAATTTATTGCAGGTTAACTGATAAACTATCAACCCATCAGCCCTCTTTTTCTACCCAAGCAGTGTTGCTGAAAAGAAATCAAGGACTTGTTTAAGACAATGTCTTAGATTGTCTAGAAATATTAGTTGTGTTGACTTGATACCCAGAATGGTATGTGAAGTCAGCTGGTATAAGATAATTTTGAGGCAATGGGCTTTAAGTAATCTACGCATAATTAAGATACTCGATGAAGGACTTAGGAACTTTGGAAGGATGAGAACTGCCAGTTTCTTTTATTCCCCTGAATCTATTGCACTTAATGCTGTCAGAACAATTTCAATTAATAGAGAAGTCCAGTACGCTCTCCAAAACCATTGAGGATTTTCTTTTGTCTTAGGGAAACTGGATTCTCTACTGTGTGAAGAGTTGACGCTTACTATAGGCAGAAGGGGAAAACAGTTTTATCGTGTGTTAGGGACTGAAAAAGAGACTAGCTAAGTTACAGTCTCTTCCCACTAGTTGTGATTTATAAACTTTTATTTTCTTCCAAGGGCAAACTGCTTGCAAAAATGCCTCATGACAGCAAGGGAGATTCAAGAGGAAAAATTGGATGCCTTTTGCTCAGCAGAAGTCATAGAATATTGTTTGTAATAAAAGCTAAATGAATGCCATTTAAATACCTATGCTTCACTCTAATCATTCTTTCTTTTTATCTTTGGTTTTTCTTTTGGGTTCATGAAAATACTTTCTTCAGGCTCAGGTAAGAGTTTCTAAAATAACCTTAGAGATAACCTTAACATGTGCTTCCCGATTGTGCTCCAACGTTTACGTTGTCTGTCTCTTTTTTTAATGTATGTTTGAGAAAATATATGGAACACTGTATAAATTAGTATATGAGATACTATTTCAAATTTGTATTCAAATCTAAACATAATGCTAATGATGGTACATGAATATATTGGAGTGATTTTGACTATCCACAATGAAAAATAAAGTGAACCAGCATATATTGGTATGATTTACCTTGAGCTCACCTCTCTTTAGAAATACAAAACCCCCACAACTAATAACAGTGGGATGGAATAGTTGAGGAGAGATGTGAAGGATAGAAGTAAAGTTTTAGCAGAGTTTTAGCAGCATTTTTCTAAAAGGTGTACCCGTGAGCTTCCTAGTTACAGATTTTGTGTTAGTTGTGTTGATGTTATTGGTGGAAATGGCATAGCATGGACTTAGCGGCAGAGAAAACCAGGGAATCTGTCATTAGATGTCTTAGCTTCTGACTTTTTGTTATTTCTATAGTTTTCTATCAAGTATTTTATCTGTATTATTACTACAGCCTCTAAATCAGCAAGTTTACATTTGTCATTCTGCCAAAAAGAGCATTAACTTTTTTTTGCATGATAACTGTTGCATATTTATCTTACTTGTGTGCAACAAAACTGATGCTCGATGTGGATTCCAGGTATATGAGGTAGTCCCCTGCCACAGTGACTGCAGCCAGTACGTATGGGTTACTGAGCCCTGGAGTGTCTGTAAGGTGACTAATGTGGACTTAAAAGAGAACTGTGGAGAAGGTGTTCAAACGAGGAAAGTCAGGTAAAAAAGTATTGCTTCTCCTTCACTTTAGAGAACCTTCACTTTCAGTCATGGCTGTATTTAATTTGATGTAATTCTGTGTAATGTATAGTGTTAAGTCCAGCCATTGTATACTGGACCAGAACCCTGGCTGATGTAAATCAGAATAGCTGCACTAAGTGCAATATTGCTCTGTCTACTGGTTATGGATATGGACCTTGATTCGTAGTTTATAAACTAATGTATATTGTACTTATACTCTTATAAACACTGCAATGTACGATTTTAGTGCTTTTCTGAAAGGTGAAATGGTCCACTTTCTATATGAAACTGTGATTTAAAAAACCCTTTTAAGTACATATGCACTTGGGAATAATAGTTACACTTACTATAGGAAAAAGTGGCAAAAGTGAATGAAGTGAAATTGAAAAATCCAGAAATCTTCTGTTGTTTATTGAACCTGATCTAGGCATCTTGTACGCTTGCTCATCATCCTAAAGCTCTAATCAAAGGTTAATTAAAATTATTCTCGCATGGTGTGGTACCACAGCAAGTAAAGCAGTACATGGAGTTTGGGTTGGTTGGGGTTTGTTTTGGTGTTTTTATTGGCTAACTGCAAAATGACACACAATTTGAGATTGCAAGTCTGAATAATAAAGCATAATGTGAATTGAGTTTGAAGGTCCAAAATGAGAGCTGTATACAGTGAACTGCTAAAAGTTCTCTTTTCCCTGCCACAAGTGCTTAGAAACTGGCACATTTACATGATTTTGTTCACAATAGCACTGTTTCCTCAGTGTAACCGTTTACTTCAAGGTCAAAGTCTTAATCTTTGCTTGACCGAAGTTAGAAAGCCTGTGCATAATTGTTCTCACAAAATAGCACCTAAACAAATTCCCATAAGAATATTCTTAAAAAACTCCAATATGAAAAATCAAAATTAATCACTATTTATGTTGAAAAATAGACTTTTACACTACCATCAAAGATAAAGAAAGAAAGTGTTTTCAGCCCTTTGGGACTAAAAACATCTAACTTTTCATTTATTATCACATAATGCCGTTAAAGTACTAATTCCACAAGGCTAATATGTGCGCATGCTGTATCTCTTGTGTTTACCTTAGAACAGAGAGTGTTTCAAAAATTAGTTTAGTCTGACAATGTAAGATATTTGCAATAAATTAACGTGGTCAAATGGAAGAAACACTGAATATTTTTCTGTGTGTGAAAGGCTTCCTATTGATATGAGCTTTTCTCTTGCAATTCTGGAAAACAAATGCAAGCCTCTTAATTTGAATGTTCCTAGTCATGTACTAGTTGGTCTTCTGCTGACAGGTGGAAGGGATGCATTAACAGTAGATGCCACAGCATTGGAAATTCTGTGGAATAAAGACTGTCATCTTTAGCTCTACAAAACTAAGCGTTTTCATTTCTCATCTTAACTGGGCCTCCAGCTGCTAATTTAATATAATGGTAATGAAAAAGCATCTGTGTAAATTAGGGATTAATACTAAGAATATAAAATTTAAAAAGTTTTAATATTTCTACATTTAAAATTATCATTAAAAAATCCATGGCAAATGCAGTTTATGTGCAGTTCTTTTTTCCAGGTGCATGCTAAACACTGTGGATGGTCCTTCTGACACCGTAGAGGACTATCTGTGTGATCCTGAAGAGATGCCACTTGGTGCTAGAAAATGCACGTTACCATGTCCTGAGGACTGTGTTATGTCTGAATGGGGATCGTGGTCTCAATGTTCTTTGGTAAGAAGTATACTGAAGGGTAATATTTATGGTTTTAGCAGGATACTTTAAAAATGTATACATAACGTATTGTGCAAAGGTGCTGAACTGACAGTGATTACACGTGTAAATATGTATCTTTACTGTCATCTTTAGGGTTGTTGGTAGTTGGTTGCAAATAAAGTGTGCCAGTATTTTGCCTTAAGTGAACTTGTTCCAAAACACAAGATATAATGTCCCCAGTGGTCATTCTTCAGTGTGGCATGGGTTCTGTGTGGTGGAATAGCTTTGGCAGTGGCTTGTGAGTCTGTCTCTGAGCCTAGTTGTGAGCCTCTTCATAGCAGTGCAGTCACTATACTAAAAATGTCATTACCCTGTAATGAGCAAAGTCTGTAGATCAAGACTGAGCATAGAAAGATAATTTTGGGTCTCCTCTCACCTTCCTGCCAGCAATTTCAAAAAGAAATGTCAAAAAACCCAACCAAACATGTTTCAGGACATCTGAGTATTCAGGCTCTGGTGCACTACATTATAGGTCTTGGAAAGTGAGCCTCTCAATATCCAGTTTATGAGTGAAATAGTTCCAAAGCACTAGTACTGAAATATGAACTCTTAGGAAAGTACCGAGGTGTTACCAAGTTACAGGATATTTCACCTTGGGTGGTACCAAGGTGAAAGAGCAGACTAAATTCTCTCTGAAATAACAAGCAAATGGTTTCTCTTACACAACAGCATAAGCCTGTTATTTTACATTTGAGTTTTGTGAAGGGGTTACTTGAAAGGTTGTTATAATGTTGCATGAAAAGGTATCAGGGTGCCAAAATATCAAAGCTGTTTCCAATCTCCCTTTCAAGCCATGCAATGGAAGTAGTGCCCGTGAAAGGTCAGCTGAATCCCTGAGACAACCAGATGATGGAAAGTCTTGTCCTGCTGCCACCGAGACAGAAGTCTGCACTTTGAACAAAAACTGCTACCACTATGACTACAACGTGACAGGTATTTGTGGTGTTATGATCTAGTGACAGCCTGGGACCATGGCTCACTTCCATTCACCTTACGGGACAAATTTTTCAGCTTTCTGTTCTTATCTGGAGTGAGCTATGGAGCTCGTACTGAAAACTGATTCAGGCTGTTTAAGCCAGATAAAATATTACTGGAGGCTTTGCAACTTGGGTGAAGTGTGCATGCTGTAACTCCAGGAAATGTATTTCTCCTATCATTTTGTGATTTGCTCAAAATCTATGCAGACAAAACCAAATATTAACTTTTCAGGAAGGCATCATGGCACTGACTATTGGCAGTAAAAGTCGCTGTTTCCAAAAATGTGTAGCAGCTGGGCTCCGTGAGCCTTTGCATGTGTAAAAGTTGCTTGTGAAGATTATTTTAGGCCATCAGAATTAGACTTAGGTGGGAGATTGGATCATTATGAGTTTTATCTAAAATGTCTGCTACGCTAATGAATTCCTTATTTCCAGACTGGAGCACATGTCAGCTCAGTGAGAAGGCTGTCTGTGGTAATGGTATCAAAACACGGATGCTCGATTGTGTTCGCAGTGATGGCAAATCAGTTGACCTGAAGTACTGTGAAGAGGTGAGTGGATACCTGTGAGTAAGCTCTCTTCTAATGGTGCTAATTAATGCTGAGCCAACTGAGCTATATGGCATGCAACCCATCTTCGCCAGATGTTTTGCAACACTATTCATGGATTGTTAAGTACCTCTGAAATGAACTGTGCCATCAACAGTGATTTTTATACAATCTCCTTTGGTTACTTTTAAGTGCCTCTGTGAACATATGCTAATTATTATGTCCTGAAGGAAATGACTTAGAAACAATAATTAATAAAGTAGAATAAAGGTAATAAATCTTAATCAGAACACTAATCATCATTCTAATTTGATACAATTTTGCATGAAGCCTTGGACAGCTGCCAGTATCAATCATTTACTCAATGTGTTGGAAAATATTTCTCATGCGCTGTTCTGCAGCTGGGCTGAATGCTAACTTCTTGTATCCAGCTGTGCAATGCAAAAGATACCCAAGATAGTGTGAAAAAATGTGCAGCATGAATGCAGTATTAAATAGGAGCATATATGGAGAACTAACCAGCAGACAGGAGCACTTACATTTTGAAAGAGCCATTTTGCAAATGTTCAAACTAACTTCAAATTTGACAGCACTGGTTTTCTGACATTTTGTGTGTTGGTCTTAATGTTTTCGATTGCATGGACATAGTAATGTGAAGGAAAATGGGAAGACAACACAAGTGTTACATTAAGGGCAATCCTACATGCATTTCTGATGGAAAGTAACTGAACTTGTTTCAGTGGCCATTCCCCCACCACCTTGACATCAGACACAAAACCATTTGCAATGGGGGACTAAGGTGGAGTGGCCTCCACAGCAGCTTTGGTACCAACACCTTTTCTGTTGGACCTTCCTGGCTAGTAGCTGCTCTTCAGGCCGTGCCCATAGAGAAGAGTCTCATCAGAAGTGGAGGGAGTCAGGAAACTCATTAGGTACTTTGGACTATAGTTTTGTAATGGTGTATCTGACTACTTAGGCTTCTCCAACCCTCTCTGACATTTGGATTCCTGAATCCTTAAGTTCTTAGCAAAGGCTGGAGGTTTCAGCTGAGGCTGCCACCCTACTTTTGTCCCAAGTTCCTCCTTCACACATAGCTCTTGCTTGGGTTTATAATCAAATCTAGTAATTTCATCATTTATGTCTCAGGAAAAAATTCAGGATCTGGCTACCTACCAGCAAGTTTCTGTGAAGTTAATAGGTGAATGCATTAATGCATTCTGTTAATGTTTTAATGTGTTAAAAGAAAAAAAATTTGGCTCTTGGGTTATTTGTAAGAGACTGCAATATTGATTAATTCATACCAAGACATGGTATAAAACATCCATCCACATGAATATTTCAATAGAAAAAAATATGCTTTATTAGATTTTTAAGGGGAAATATATTTCTCTTACCATAAAGCCAAGAAATTATTCCTGTTGTTAACCAAAGATTTTGAGCAACATTTAGACAAATGATTACATTTTATACTCATTGCAGAATCTCATTGCAGAAAACCTCCAGAGCTTTCCTGCATTTAAGAAATGAAAGTTTATTACTCAGAAAAATGATTAAGGCAACAAGATAATATCTCAAAAGCTACTTGCCGTAAATGACTGGCCAACAGACATCACTGCAGTGGGGTCCTGACTTTATCAGCAACCACTGTGATACAATCTTATTTGCCCTTTTGATTTGCTAGACCATATAGAGATACATCTCCCTGTAGAAAGCTCTGATCCACTCCCCAGTCATACAGTTAAGACTATTTGTTGAATTATGGATGTGTAAGCAGTGGTACAACAAGGTCAAAGGCTGATCCAATAACTGTGAGGAGTAAAACCTGTTAACCTGATTAACAAGAAAGCCAAGCTGTTCAGATCTTAGCAGACCCTTCACTCTAAAGATGTGAAAGCCAACTTTGTGACCTTCCAGGTCGTGAAAGGAGAGCATTCAAGAAATTATCAAAATGTGAATACATACTATGCACTTCTTACTAATCTAATCACAGATCATCCTTCAAGGGTGTTGGGGTTTTTTTGCTCTGTTTTTGCATTATAAGGGCAGTGCAGAAAGATTAAGTGAAGTTCAAGATCAGGTGCATGTGATTAGAAAAGTTGATGACAAGAGAAAGATGAAATAATTTTGTACTAACTTAGCTAATGGAATTTCCCCTGGGCTATCATAAAACTTTATACTAGATGTGTGAATAAAACAAAAGTTTTGTTTAATTTATGTGAAGATACATTTACAGAATTGTGATTCTTATTATTACATGCGAAGAAGAGAGATCAGAATAGCTAAACCTATCCTGATCCCTAAGAAATGAAGACGCCTGATTGAAATGTCTGAGTTCTTATATAATATGTGGTTCAAGAAACTAATAAAAGCCATATATAAAAAAATCCTTCATGCTGTCTTTTGACTATCACCATCTCCAGGTATGAGCATCAACATAGTTAAATACTAACATTTCTTCCAAGCCCCTGTGTTCTGGTTTCCTAATGCGTCCATATGATCTTGTGTTGTTTCAGTCAATCAGCTAAAGAAGCTAGCCAGTCATCCTGATTACCGCCAGGATAAATCAATTTCTAGAGCTTATTTCCAAGTCTTTGTTATGTTAACATAGTTCCCTTCAAACTCTCAAGGCACAGTAATACTGGATTACTTGGTCTCTAACTCTACAAAATTAGCACATCACAAGAATTCGGCTTGTCTTTTCCTTGTGTATTTGAAAATCAAATCACCTAAAGCAAGGCCGGTCCTGGTCATATTTGTATTTATGGGCTTATTTTTATTCATTTACCTTCAATTAAAGATCAGAAAAGCCTAGAAACCAGCAATTTTCTCTGCATTAGAAAGCAAACTTTTCTGGTTTATTGGCAAATAGTCTGCTTGTCAGATTACATGATTAACCTCCAGCAGAGGTTAATTTGTGGTGCCAAACATTCCTATAAACAAATACAGATACTTTTTGCGGATCACAGGGTTTATAGAGCATGCTGGTCTGGCAGCCTGCTGCCCCTGGCATGTGTGACCAGGAGTACGGGGCGCTCAGCAGTAGCTTGCAGTGTAACTCCTCCAGTACTTGCCATTCTCGAGTCAGAAACTACAACTCATCCAGAACAGAGGCTGTTTCAGGTAAGGGAGCTACTGAACACTTTTCCAAATGTTTTCATCTTCAAGATGAATTGTGGTTCATCAACTGAAGGAAGGAGAGGAATGAGAAAAGAATATGTGATTAATATCAAATTGCAGCCTGCCAATTGTTTGCCAAATCTATTTCAGCAGCACTTCAGTATCTAAGACATGCAAATGGTAGATCGCTGTGGATAATCTGGACTTCAGCTTTTTCCTCTTCACCTTTAATATCTCCCTTGGGCTTTTGCTTCTCTAGCTGCCAAAGTCCAGCTGAGAAGGCCAGTCTTGAAAGAGAGCAGTCGTGTTTCTATAATTGGCAGGAATCAATTCAGCAGGCTTTAAAGCCTTTGCCCAGAAGATTTGACCAAAATACAGACTTCAAAGGTGGTTCTCTAGTTTCCTAATTATCTAATTTCCAGATTATCCAAAGGTTTCAGGTGTTGCCTGTGTGTGATAGCTGGATAATCAAGGTTATACTGTACCACAGAGAAAAGCCAAGAATTTGTTCTTTGATGTATAAAACAGAACAGAGGTCTAAAACCTCATTTGTCTCAATAAATGGTACTGCAAATGCAAATTTAAGACTTGGTGAGACATTTCCAGTACTTGTGGTAGTTTATGGAGGACATGTTAATGTTGTGCCTAATTATTGCTCTATGCTTGCATTTAGTAGGAAATAGTGTTTTTATTTCCTTTTCAAAGTCTTAACTGCTGGTTTTATGTCATTAACCTTTCCAGTCATTAAAATTAATAGGTTTTGAAATGTCTAGTTTGCTTTTTTTTTAAAAAAAAAAAAACTATGTGGGGATTTTATCTACTTAAAGATATCCACATCCTCCTGGGCTTCTGAAAGGCCTCAATGATGATGAAGGTTCACCGGTGAGGGCCAATGAAGAAGACAGTCTTTTATGCTGGGAAGCTGCAGATCTGTTCATATTGGCGGGACTGATTTTCTTTCACATTTTATATCATACACTATAATTGACCTATCCTTTTAACTAATTATGAAGCTGTGCAGGCTGCAGGGATTATTATCACGCTAATATTTTTGCCATCAGTTGTATTCCATCTTGCATCATATATTCTCATGTGTGTTAGTGAGAATATCTCTTTTCTTCCTTGGATGGAGAAAATCTGGAGCATGGGAATTTTTAAGAACATAGAAATGGCTTTACAGGATCAGACCAAAGGACCATGTAGCCACTGTGCCGTCTCCAAGCATGGCCATAAAACTCTTCCTTCCCTGTGGGGGTTCCATCATTTGTTAGTATTAGGCTGACTCCTGCCCGGAGGAGAGCTCAGTACAGAATGTATTTTTGGGAAAACATGTGAGTCTGGCTATTTTCTGTGTCCCCTTCTCTCATACTTCTCCAGCATTTGCATCTTTTACTTTAGGGATGTTAGAGGATTCTGCTTTTTGCAAAGCTTTTCAGAAAAACATGCAAAACTATATGTTTTTTAGAACAAATCATTGTCAATGTCATGTCAATATTTTTGCATAAAGTAGAATGGATAGCATAATATATATAATAAACTTACACACCATGTTAGGAAAAAACCAAGAAAGAAGCATAAGCAGATGCCTAAAGAAGAGTAAGGAGGACAGACATACACGAGTTTCCATCTATCCTCTTGCAGCCTTCACCTGTTTTCAGCTCTTGGACTGCATTTGCCCGATGTGGTTTCTGTGTGTTTAAACCTTCACATTTCTCTTCCACTAACTTGTTCAGTCTCTCTTGAGCTCCTGTAAACTTTTAGCATCTGCAACATCTTCTGACAAACAAAGTGACTATCCAATGCATGTTCATCCTCCTCCTTTTGTTAGTTTTGAACCTCCTCCTAGCAACACTCGAATTCAGCTGTTAATAGATACTGATAGTTCAGTATTTTTACATTCCTATTTCAAAATACTTTATTGATACTTCATAAATTATTTGTCCTTTACCTATTGTATAAAGTAATACTGTAGAGCTGAAGCCCTCCATTTATAGGCTCTAATTTAGAAAATAATTGATGAAAATAGGATTTAAACATGTATTTAAAAATCAGCATATGCATCAGGACTGTCTTGAAGCGAGATTTTTAAATGTCCTAATTACTTTACTTTTTATTTGGTAATGACTTCATGCTTGCTTAAAGCTTTAGTTGTTTCAGATTCACGGTGTCCAAATGCATACCCTTCACTGATGACACAGACCAGCTGTTACATGCTGACCATTGAATATTTCTTTTAGCTTGGTTTGGAGAAGACATGGCAAATGAATACGTCCTGTGTGGTGGAATGTCCTGTGAACTGTCAGCTCTCTGACTGGTCCCCTTGGTCTGAGTGCTCTCAAACATGTGGCCTTGCAGGTCAGTATGTACCTTTGGCATATTTTAAAGACTGAGCATATGTTTTTTTCTTTAATAAGAGCAGTAATATCTCTTTTTGCAGAACTAGAAAATGTAGCTAGCTAGGGAGAGTGATGGGGATCTAAATCAGCCTTATTCATGGAAATAATATGCTTCAGTGAGACTGTACTCACTGAAGATAATGAGAATTTGGCTCAGAATAGTTTCTGACTCTGGGAACAAAGTGAGATATGATGAATGATATATTGAGACAAAAATAAACACTGATGTGAATATTTATTTTTCAGCTGGTGGGGGAAGGAAGAGGAGGGAGGGATTTCCTCTTAAGTTTCGTTAGTGGTGAGTTTAGAACAACTAAACTTGTAGAAGAGCACAAACCAACAAATTTACTCATGGCGGAATTCCATATTTTTAAACCCAGAACAAGGATGGGGGGACACGTTACTTTCACTGTCATCACATTAATTTGTTTTTTCCAAAATATTGCTAACCACTATCTAGGTTTTTTTAAATCAAATTAATGTCAGAGAATGGATAGCAAAGGCACATTCTAGTTGTGGAGGCACTCTTGTTATTTATTTGCACTGATAATGTCTCAGAATAAGGACCTGAAAGCACCACTATGCCAGGCAACTAAGGTATACAGAGTACCGAAAGAGAAGGGTAGAAGCCCATCTATGAAGCCTCTTCCTTCTGTAATCATGTCTGGAATATGTCACAACAGATATTGGATGGTTAGCAGTGTATGGAATCCAATTTCAACTGCAGGGCTCAGAATAAAAGGATATGGCATCTTTTTGTTTCCTTGGGGAGTACACCACAGGAAAAAGGTGTAGGAAAAAATGTCTGAAAGATCTGGCCACCTCAGGATCCCAACAGAAAGACCTACGGATTTTTTAATGATAACAGTTAATAATTTGATACTGCAGTATCTAATAATGTAATAATGTTTCAGTTCTTTGAGCTTCTCTCAAAGCATGACTTCTACATTCAAAGAATCTGCACTTCTATATTCAAAATACAGAGTAAGAATTGAACTAACAGCTCTATTGAAGGCTTAAACATGTTGCCAGATTTTCCTTTACAAGCTTCTGTTTATATGCAAGACCTGAACAATTGACCTGATATTTTTCTGAATGAGAATTATTGTTGCTATGCTTTTTCAAAATGTGAAGGCGGGTCACTATCTGAAATCCCTGTGCTTTCCAAGTATAGAATTTATCTGTAGAAGTGAGAAAATTTATTTTAAATAGTAATGTAAAACAGTTTTCAAATTTTCAGTGTTTTTAACAGATGATGGCAACCTCACATGTAAGCCTTGAGGCTGTAATATTCCTATTAGGCAGGAAGTTGGAAGTAACTGCTGTTTCTCAATAAGTAATAACCGTCTAATAAACCCAGT